AACCTGGGTGGTTGAGAGAGACAGGCTGGAGCCTTGTGTTGAGTGTGTATTGGATGCTGTTGTTGGGGGTGGGGGGGAGTGAGCAGGGTGAATAGAGGAGGTGTGAAGTGTCTGAGGTGGAACAGCAGCAGTGGGGGTGCTGTTTGCAATGGTTGCAGTTTTAGACGTTTCTTAAGCGCCTAGTGTATTAGATTGGTAGTATACAAACTTCCGACTGCTGCAACGTTGAGTTTGCCCTTACTATTATTAGTTATTTTTTATATTCATTCACATTATCAGAATAGAACACGAGATTGTAAGACACACATGGAATATATTTGTGTTTTTGTTCAATTTTGTAAGTATTTGTACTGAAAAATATCCTTTTCATATCATTAAGGATGCCAGCTGTGCATATGAAGTGCAGAGAACAACAGAAGTACATATGTTTTGAAGGCCAACTGACCTACTGATCGTTTTTGGATTGCGGTGAGTAAAAAAACATTAAGGTTTTCAGCGTGTTTCGTAGTGTGAATCAGTCAAGCTTTGATGATGATGTTATAATAGGTGCTATACCAAATGTTTAGGTTTATTTTGTTCAGTTTATTTAATTTCACTTTTTTTTTGCTTGTTCTGGTGTTTATTTCAAATGTGTAATGCAATTGTATTATGTTCACAGTTGCCAAGGAGTTCAACATCCCAAACATATGGCTTCTCTAAGATACTTGATCCAACTGTGAAGGATATGAAAATCCCAGAGAGGGATGGAGTTAAGGTTCCCCCGTATGACCCAGTACATGCAACTTGGTCTTCACTGCCTGTTTGGTTTTGTAGAGACTTCCTTATGTGATGGATGTTAAACAGTCTTGCATTCTAAGCTCATTGCAGTACTTCAATACATGTGAAAATTTCTCTGTTGATATTATGCATGATGTCTTGGAGGGAGTGGCACAATATGAAATGAAACTGATTACGTTACATGATCAGTATACAACATCAAAGGAAGTGGGCAGGAGAATTAAGAGCTTTAACTATGGCTACATGGAACAAAACAACAAACCACCTACAGTGAAGTTGGGAGAGGACTCAATCGACTTGGGGTTAAACGCCATCCAGTCCTGGTGTTTACTTCGGAATCTACCACTAATCTTTAGAGGCATAGTTTGTCCAAATGGTCAGCACTGGTATTTGCTACTGCTGTTGCTTCAAATAGTGAATATTGTATTTTCACCAGTGTTATCAAAAGGCATCAGTATTTTCTTGAAACACCTGATTGCCGAACACCACAGGTTATTCAAACGTTTGTTTCCATACAAGAAGCTGTGTGTCTCAATGAGCATTCCAATGGTTTTCAAATTCTGTGCACAAGAGACGGACCTCATGTAATTTATGTCAAAGAGCTTTTCTGCTCTAAAGCATTTGATTTACAACAAGCAGTTACAGTTTTTGTATTGTACCATACTGTTTCCTCCGAATAATAAAGGTGGCTGTTAAAATAAAAATATTTTTTTCTGATTTATTTATTGTACCTTTAAAACCTTGCAGTGAATGATTATAATGCAGTTACATAGTGAAATAAAGTGATTTTTTCTTCTATTTATAATACCATTCAGAGTACAATTCTGTTCTACTTAGAATAAAATTAGAGTTTTTATTTTATTTTAAACTAAACCAAGTAAATTATCAAGGGTAAATTTTAAGGAAGAGTAAATTTTACTCCATTTAGACTGGGACCAAATGCTGTCTTTTTTAGAGTAAAGTTTTATTCAATTTGAGTCAGATGTACTCAGTGAAATTTACTGTGCATGGATACTTCTGACACTGTGGATTAGAGCAAATTCAAAATAAATTCAATTTTGTGCACCCAGCTCTTGTCTATTAAAGTCATTAAAGATGTGTGCTGTGGAATCATTACACCCTAAAAACAAATACTTCAAAGAAATCTTTAAAGCCCAGCATTACTATGATATTCATACCCATGATGAGAGGATGTGAACTGCAAAAAGTACTGTAAGGTCTTGCTGTGCTTACAGGTATTTAACTGTAAAGGACAAGCACACCTTAAGAAAAAAAAAATCAAATCAGGGCTTACTGCAGCTGTGTATGCTTCTCTACCCCCGCCCCCCGTTTAGATGATTGGTGCAGGTGTTCTAACCAGATGTTTGCCTGAATAATGTTGTCTTAAATGAGGTGTTACGCGCTGATTACTAAAAGCAGTCGCCTCTTTTAGTTGTAAAACACGCTTTTCACGTAATTCCCACACGTTTCCACACAAATGAAAACATTTAGATGTCTTATGTCCACACCACATTTCTGTTTTTCTTTGAGCCTCGGAGGCTGATCGAGAGGGCTCGGGTCTCTTTGCCAGTTCTTGATGCACTCAGGGATACGCGAGTGGTCGGCATGGCAACAGAGGAGTCAGGTGCACTGGCACGTGTGCGATATTGATATATGTACAGACAATGATGCATATTTAAAAAGCAGATGGTCGAGTCTAATTTGCTGCATGCAGAGAAATCCTAATCACGCAGGAACAGTCTCCAGCCCCACGGTGTAAAATCTGCTCGTTAAACGCAGTCTTACGTAAAGCTGGCGAAAGTGTGTGCGCAGATTGTGCGCAACAATTTGCGCCAAAACTCTCCATATCGACGAGGGGCGTTTAAATGCGCTCGTGGGGAGGGGGGCGTGTGGGGTGTGTGAAGGGTTTCGCGTGGGGGAGGGGAACCTCTGAGCATCACTCTTGTGAGTGTGTGTGGATGGCGTGGGCTTCTCCTCTCCGTCTCCAAACCGCGCAGCAGCAGCACCACCACCACCACCATCATCGTCACCACTCGGCTCACAGCGACAGCCTCGTACGCATCACCATCCTCATCCTCCTCCTTCTCATTCTTCATCACCACCATCTCCAAGCTGAAGAGGGACCCTGGCATCGAAGGATTTAAGGTGAGGTGAAATTAATTAGCTTTTAGTGGCTGATGGCGCTGATTCTTTCCCCTCTCCCTCTTCTTTTCTTTCTTTTTATGTTTGCATTAAAACATGAAGAGAGGGGGGCGATGGGTGTGTTTGCTTCACACGGCAATTAGGATCGATTTTGTGAATCGAGACTTGGCCCTATAATCTAATCCAAGTCGTGACAAGCCGATGGCAGTGTGATTTCTAAGAATGGGGGCATATGTCAGGACGCAAGCGAAGAGACAATCGGCTGGTTTCTGTAACAGATTTATAGTTATAATCCATCCGCATTTGTAGGGCTGTACAAATTGGCCCTTTTGGCGACAAGGCCCTTTTTACGGCTTATTATAAATGAAGACATTTACGACCGCACCGAAGGCTTAAATTTGGCCATGTTTAATCCGAGGCATGTATCCACATTGTGAAATATACAAATCGTGAAAGCAGGACAGCACAGTACAGATCTGACAGGCTGACACTGTTGGGAACAGGCCCGTGAGAGGAGAATATCAGGGCTGCAGGAGCGATTTTGGGGATCTCTTTTGACTGTCGTTGAAGCCATGTTATCAGGTGTCCAGATTATCACCACAAAGGAGGCTGGCTGAAATCTCCCTTTAACAACCCTGCAGGAGATGCTGATGACTATCTGCCCTGCGTGGTCTTGCAATGAAGTGATAAACAGCTGCT